CTGCAGAATGCTGTGCTGGCGCAGCTCTCCTTGGGCATCCTTGTGAACATCCACATCATCCTCACCGTAGCTGTCCTATCTGCCGAGGTGGGGGCAGGTAAAGAAAAAAAGAAAAGAAAAAGAAAAAAGAAAGAGAAAAAGAAAAAAAGAAAAAAGATACGTTGATCTGTGGGATGTGTTATTTGCTTTGTGAAAATTGGATTATCTTTCTTTCCCTATCTTTCTTTCCCTGTCCGGTTTGGTTTCCTCCTCCCCTTCTTTACCTCTTTGCCTTTTGGCTGCGTGCAAGTGGGTCCTTGTGACACACGGGGATGGGGGCAGCCAGCGCTCAACCTGTCATCCACGTGGCTGGCCTTGTACGTAAGAGGTTATGAACAGGTGGAGCTTTCCTTACCTCCTGCCCCTCCCCCTTTTTTCCTTTTCTTTTTCTTTTCCCTTTTTTGCGCTCTGATTCACAATGTGACATTATATATATCAGGTGGGGATTTCCTTCCTATTCACAATGTGACATTATATATATCAGGTGGGGATTTCCTTCCTGACTTTTTTCTTTCCCTTGTTTTGCTTTTTTCCGCCTTTGCGCTCCGATTTACAGTGTGACAATATGTATTATATATTGATATCCTGGTTGGTCTCGTCCCGTCGTTTGGCCTGTGAGTTGGGGCGGCGTCGTTTGGCCTATGAGTTGGGCCGGTGTCTGCATGTGGGACGTGTCATGTGGGATTTGTTTTGTTGCCCCCTGTTCTGTATTATTTGGCTGTTCCCTTCCTCTTTTCGTTGCCTCTTTGCGTTCTGGCTGTGTGCAAGTGGGTCGATATGACACACCGGGGAGGGGGCAGCCGCCGCTCAACCTACATCCACGTGGGGTCTTGTACGGAAGAGGTTTTGAACAGGGGGAGGTGTAAGGAAGAAGATATTAAAAAACGAATTTATTCCTTTTTCTTTTTTTCGCTTTTGCGCTCACAGAGCTTGGTAAAACGTACGTAGGCAGAGAGGGAGGGAGAAGAGGACAACAAACGAGGGAGGGAGGGGCTGTGTATGATGTCTCTGCATATCATTCTCCAGACCCGTGAAAGGCAAAGATGAACAGCTATGTATTGTCAATTTATGATTCCTTGTAACAGTTTGCGCAAAAATCGATACTGGTAGTAGGCTTCAATTTCCAATTCAATGACCATTAACTTGCACGGGGATTAGCCTATTAGGTATTCATCTCCGATGGAATTCTCTTGGCTGTTGTCCGCTTTTGGAATATTGGATTAATCATTTTAATATCCCCTTGACCCATATGTATAGACGGGGAGGGCCACCGTGTGTACTTGAATATTTAATTAATCATTCTTAGATACCGTTGCCACAGGACGCCTCACGTGGCGCTGTGACGTGTGATACGTTATGTCGTTTTTCTCGTCATTTTCCTCTATTCATCCTTTTTTGGAAGTTACACGGAGTTCTTGGTCTGTGTGTTGTCCCAGGGAAAGAGAGAGAGAGCGAGAGAGAGAGAGAGAGAGGTCCCAGAGAGAAGTTCTTGGTCTGTGTTGTCCCAGGGAGAGAGAGAGAGAGAGAGAGGTCCCAGAGAGAAGTTCTTGGTCTGTGTTGTCCCAGGGAGAGAGAGAGAGAGAGAGGTCCCAGAGAGAGAGGGGCAGCATGCCACGTGCCAGCGCCACGTGGGGCGTGTTCGAGTAAGTCCGAAAAAAAAAGAGGATTTCGGCGGACTCCTCTCGGACTTCCACCGACTCATCAGGTTGAACCCTGTGCTAGTTTGTGTGAGTGAGTGTGTATGTCTGTAAAGACTAAGTGTGTCACACAGAGAGAGAGAGAGAGGGAGCGAGAGAGAGAGTAGGACATAAGGGCCTA